AAGTTGCTAAAAGCTTATTGTTCAAAACTATTTCTATTTTGTACCTTTTAGTAATGATTATTTTGGAAATAAACCATTGAAATCATAGAAATAGCTTTCCCCTTCATGTGGGGTGACCCAACTCAGTCCATTTGAGATTGGGAGGCCTAGCCCATGAGCGCCAGATTCGGGAACGAGATCTGCTACAGCAGGGGTTACCCTGCTCCCCTCGTACGAAGCTAATTGCAGGGCGCCCATGCTTCCCCGCAGAGCTCTTTGACTGCCCCCATACGGCACCCATCTCAAGCGTTCATCTCCACCTACCTCCAGGCAGTTCAAGTATAAATAGGGGTGCCCCCTCCAGGTAAAGGGATCGAATACAATCTTCAGTCTAAATTTGGAACTGGACTCACTAACTATATCCTAGTTCCCCTCTTCGTACCCCGTACTAACTTGATTGTCGGAGACTCTGCGTCGAGTTCTCACCCGGGGCCTCTGATGTATTCTGCTTTGCAGCACCTCAGCCACTTACCTTCGGCTTCTACAGCAAGCTCTTCGAATCCTCGAAGCCTTCAGCCAACCTTCAAAGTCTAGGGGTGAAATTACTTTGTTGTCCTCGGCTAACCCGAGCACCAACAATTGGTGCCATCTGTGGGAAATGTTGCTAAGACGTTTCCTAAGAAGAACTTTGACAAGCTATCAGGTCCCTGAGCTCTAACCAACCAACATGGTATGAAGAATAAGAAATACACAAAATCTTGTAACCAATGAAGAGTTCCAGGCCATGCTCAACCGCCTGGAGCACTTGACACAGCGAGTTGAGCAGAACTACCCCCAGGCAGGAGGTCTCCCCCAAGGTGACCGCCCTACTGGGGAGTCCTTACAGCCAGGACGGCATGGATCCACCAGCCAATCGGTCCTCAATCTTGGCCACGCACATCGGACTGAGCCTTCTGAGTCTGGTAGCAGTTGTCCAACTGACCCACTCTCCTAGACCATCGGACCTCCCATCCAAAGGGAGGACAACTCTAGACCTCCTAGCCGAAGGGAGGAAGAACCGGAACAATGGAAGGATAGCTGCCAAACCTCCGAGCAGCATCACCGACGCCGAAAGGCCAAGCCGAGGGACGAAGGCAAACGCTGCGGTCGCTCCAACGCCCACTCCAGGGTCGAGGGCCAGTGTCGAGCCTCTTCTCCTCACGTCTCGGACTTCCGGGATGTCCTGAACTATCGCCACGCTAAGTGCAAAGCACACAATCTCAACTCCAAACACTCCAGAGTCTGCGCTGATTGCCATCATGCCCATGAAGACCGGGATGGGGCACAGGCCATGCTCGACCCCATGTTCATCAAACTCTGAGCTGAGCTTAAAACTATCAAAGCCGAGCTCCGACAAGTTAAGGAGGGCAGAACTGATACTTCGGCCAGATAGAGAAATTCCCTTGGGAGAATGGATGCCTTCTCCCCTAATATCGTCACCGAGCCTCTACACCCAAACTTCAAGGCTCCCACCTTGGAGATCTACGAAGGGAACACAGACCCGGACGACCACTTGGAGAGCTTCAGGGCACTCATGATCCTGTACAGATACTCCGACGCCTTGACATGCCAGACATTCTAGAAGACCTTCAACGAAGCTGCTCAGTGGTGGTTTTCCAGCCTCCCACCTCGGTCCATCACCTCATGGAAGCAATTTTCCAGCATGTTCCTCGTCCACTTCATCAGCAGCCGGAACCCCTAGAAAAGTGTTGTCTCGCTGATGACTGTCAAGTAGAAGCGAGGAGAGAACTTGCGGTCATACATCAACCACTTCAAAAAAGAAGAACTCGAGATCCGTGACCTCGACCCCCTGGTCTATATGCATGCCACCATCAGCGGAGTCCTGTCCAGCTCGGCCCTCAAATGCTCCATTGCCAAAAACCAGCCAAAGATGATGCTAGAGTTCCTAGAAAGGGCCCAGAAGTACATTGCCATCGAAGAGGCTTTAGGTACAAGCATCCATGAGAGAGGCACAGAGCACCGGAATGGAGCCCCCGAGAAGAAGAGGAAGAACAAAGACCAAGGCCACATCAACAATAACCATAACAGGAATTCGCCGGTCTTGGCCTTGGCTTACAATCAATTCATGCCACTCAACTGCACCCGTACACAGATTCTGATGCAGATCGAGTAGGAAAAAATTATGAGGTGGCCTGAAAAGTTGAAGAAGAAGCCTCTTCGGGGGAACCCCAAAAAATACTACAAGTTCCACCTAGGTACCGGCCACGACACCGAGGACTGCCATGATCTCAAAAATCAGATAGAGTCCCTCATTCGTCGGGGACACCTCAAGTAGTATGTCGGAGGCGAGGCCGGCGCCTCGTCCTCCCAGCAGTAGCACTAACAAGCAGCAGGCGTCATTGACGTCATAGCAGGAGGCATGGCCTCGGGTGGAGCCTTAGCCTCGGCCCACAAAGCCTACGCCAGGCAGCTGAACATCTAGGGGCCAACCCCCAAGAAGTAGAAGCAAGAACCCCTCTCCTTCAAGAATGAGGACCTGAAGAGGGTAGCAATCCCCCATGACGATGCATTGGTGGTGTCATCCGTCATTGCAAATTTCGTAGTCAAAAAGATCCTTGTTGATAGTGGCTCCTCAGCCAAGATCCTTTTCTACGAAGCTTTTGAGAAAATGAAGATAGCTTCAGACTGCCTCTAACCAGTAGATGCCCCACAAGTCGGCTTCTTCGGCAGCATCGTCAAACCAGAGGGCAAGATCTCCCTACCAGTCATAGTAGAGATGGAGACGCAACAGGTGACAAGGATGACAGAGTTCCTAGTCGTGTAGATCGGTTCACCCTACAACACCATCATGGGGAGACCAACTCTTCATGCACTCTGGGCAGCCATCTCCTCCTATCACCTCACCTTGAAGTTCTCCACCGGGCACGGCATCAGAGTTGTTCATGGGGACCAGCATGCCACCCGTCAGTGCTATGTGTTAGTGCTGAAGGGCAAGAATAAAGAAGCTCTACCACTAGAGGGGCTCGACCTCAAGGAGGAGCCAGCGAGCCGAAGACAGCCAACCAAGGACCTCGTCTCAGTCCCCCTGGATGAGGATGAGCCCAACAAGATAGTCTATGTCGGGTTCAACCTTTCCCCCGAGAGCCTATCAAAATTGGTAAGTTTCCTTAGACTCAATGTCAACGTCTTTACTTGGTCTACTACTAACATAACCGGAATTGATCCCTCAGTCATTATGCACAGGCTGAGCGTGGACCCGAGCTATAGGCCAGTTCGGCAAAAGAAGAGGAACTTTGCACCGGAATGTTGGAAGGCCATAAAGGAGGAAGTTGAAAAGTTTCTCGATGTCAGATTCATCCGAGAGGTACATGATGAAAATGCAAAATATCATATTTTTCTCCCTTAAAATTTAGCCTTTTATACTTATTTGATTCCTAAATGCACTCATTATTCTTATATTTTGATTTAGGGCACAAATGGAGGCATTAAGTGAAAAACGGAGCTAATTGGACAATTCTGGACAGTTTCGTCACTGCATCGTAAATTCAGCATAACTCTCCCATCCGAGCTCCGATTGAGATGATTCAAGATTATTTGGAACGATAAGGAATATCTCTACAACTTTCATGTTTTGAGTTTTGATAGATACTAACTGAATCGATGTCGAAATCGGGCCCAAAGTAGTTGCAACCGCACTACTGACGTGCTGGAAACGTTCCTTAGCCTTCAAGTTTTCATATGCGGAAATCACCACTCTCCCACTTGCATCAGAACTTTGTTTTATCTTATTTTTAATATTTTGTTAATAAGTCAGACTTGGAGACTGTTATCTAGAGAGAAATTTTAGGAGACTTTATAGGCTTCTCTTGGGAAAGGGAAAGATATAGAAAAAGAAAAGAGAGAAGAGGAAAAAAGACAATCAAACCTAGGATGCCACACCTCTCTTCTCTTCTCTTTTCTCTTGTCTGATTTTTCTTGACTATTCACCATGACCATGCATGGCTGAATTCTGATACTTGGTCGAAGGAAACAGAAGCCTCAGAATCAACAAAACTGTGAGATCTAATTTGATTTTTACTGTTTGATTTATGCTTTGAATATTGAATATTCTTCTATGTTTATGTTCATGATTGTTTCGTCTAATTGCTAGGAGGCCTACTAGTTTATTATTCGTTGAAATCTACGGCTAGGTTAGATATCTGATCCATAATTGTTTGATCCCTCTAATCTACAAAGCAACTAGGGTTTAATGATTTGTTGCGTTAGAAATTGTTAGATCTTAGGAAGAACACTCGACTGAATTAAATGCAACCGCTTGTGCTTGTGTTGTTTATCTTCATCGATCTCTAATGCTTAAGGCTACTACTGAATTATATCTTTAACACTTGTTTAGGGATTATTCAGTAGTAAGGGTTAAGATGATCGCTTGTTTTTTGATTAATTGTGATTAGGGAGATACAAGAAAAGAATTCCTACGATGAATATTCAAAGTCTGAATTGATATATCTTTGCATTGATGAGCAGTAGTGAAATTTTGATGGTGGATGTTGACTTAGACCAAGATTTGTTCTTTTGATTAATTTCAGTACTTTGATTTTCATTGCTTCTCATTTAGTTTTCTTTTTCTTTTTTTTTTTTAATTCTGGTTTTCGTTATACTCAAAACCCCCCTCCATCTTTGTTCACGCAGCACAAAAAAAAAACTAGGCTAGATACTGTCTATGGGAATGATCCTTACTCGCGCTACTGCATTTGTTTTTAGGAGTATATGTTTTATTTTTTGGTGCCTATGACAGCACACCAAATTTTGGCGCCGTTGCCGGGGAGTTTTTCTAATCGATTTTTGTTCTTTTTGTGACTTATTTCGTTTTTTGAAATTTTTGAAAAAGAAAGAGAGAGATCACTTTGATTGTTTGTGTTTTAGCGTATAATTTTTTCTGTTTTATTTATTTAATTATTTTCATCACTCTAGATTTTTTTTTATGATATGTCGTTCATAGTTTATTAGGGTTTCCTTGATCTATGCTTGTAACTCGATTTTCTAAGCAAGGTGATTTGCAGTATGATCCAAAAATAGAGGGAACTTTGCGCAGGTTAAGGAGGGAAGCTCAGAGTCATTTTAAAGAGAACAATCCAGCTCTTGATTCCCTATTTATTAGCGGTTCTGATTTGAGAGAGGAGGAAATCATGGCTGGAAATCGAACTTTGAAAGAGCTTTCCACCCCTGATTTGAATCAACAACCCTTATGCATAACGTTTCCTGCTTTAGATGCTACTGCTACTTTTGAATTAAAATCTGGACTGATACATCTCTTGCTCACTTTTCATGGTCTTGTAGGTGAGGATCCTCATAAGCATTTGAAGGAGCTTCATGTGGTATGCATGAGTATGAAACCCATGGGGGTGACTGTAGAGCAAATCAAATTAAGAGCTTTTCCATTTTCTTTGAAGGATTCGGTTAAGGATTGGCTCTATTATCTACCCTCAGAGAGTATCACCACATGGAACGAGATGAAGAGGTTATTTTTAGAAAAGTACTTCCCAGCTTCAAGGGCGACCAACATTAGAAAAAAAATTTGTAGTGTAAGGCACTACAACAGAGAGTCCCTACATGAATACTAGGAACGTTTTAAGAAATTATGTACAAGCTGCCCCCATCATCAAGTCCGCGAGCAACTACTTATCCAGTATTTCTATGAGGGTCTTCAACCCACTGATAGGAGCATGATTGATGCTACTAGTGGAGGAGCTTTAGTGGATAAAACTCCTAAGACCGCGAGAAACTTGATTGCAAACATGGTGGTCAATTCTCAACAATTTGGAACTAAGCTCGACCCTCCATCAAAGCATCTTAATGAGGTAAATATTTCATCTCTTGAACAACAAATTGCAAGTCTAACTTCCCTTGTTCGCCAAATGGCCGTAGGTAATATGCAAATGGAGAAAACTTGTGGGAGTTGTTTGGTAGTAGGGTATCCAACCGATATGTGCCCAACTCTTCAAGAGGAGCCCATTGAGCAGGTGAATGCGGCAGGTGGTTTTCCGGGGCAACCGCTGATCCCTATTCAAGCACATATAATCCGGGATGGAGGGATCAGCCCAATCTCAACTGTGGGAATCCACAAAACCACCCAAGTTTCTCGCAATATCAGCCATACCCCCCTAGACAACAGCTGGGCCAAACTTCTAATGCTGGTATGTCTTTAGAAGATATTGTTAAATCTCTTGCCACTGATACTTTGCTATTTCAATAGGAGACAAAACAATTTCAGCAAGAGACGAGGGCCAGTATCCAATGTTTGGATAATCAGATGGTCCAGATGGCAACTGCAATTACTTGGTTAGAGATGCAGAGTTTGGGGAAATTACCCTCTCAAACGGTTGTGAATCCAAGAGAAAATGTAAGTGCAATCGTTTTGAGAAGTCGTAAAGAGGTTGAGATTCCAGCAAAGGCAGCCCTTGCATCGTCGAAGCAAGAAAAGGAGAAAAATGTCATTCCCAATGATGATAGCATACCCAGCGTAAGTTTCCACCTCTTTCCGATTATAAACTGGTACCTCATTTTCCTCAGGCTTTAGTAGAATCTAGAAAATATGAGCAAACTAAAGATTTTTATGAGACTTTTTGTAGATACAAGGTAAATATTCCCCTTTTTTATGCTATTAAACAAGTACCTCGTTATGCTAAATTCCTGAAAGAATTGTATACACATAAGAGGAAACAAAAACTGAAAGGATGTGAGAAGGTGAGAGTAGGGAAGAATGTTTCTGCAGTCATTCAAAGAAAACTCCCTGCAAAGTGCAAAGATCTAGGTATGCTTACTATCCCTTGCATGATAGGTAACACTAGAATTGAAAAGGCCATGTTAGATTTAGGAGCTTTTACCAATGTCATGCCATATTCTTTATATGCTTCTTTGAAACTTGGACCTTTGAATAAAACTGGTGTTGTAATTCAATTGGCTGATAGATCTAATGCCTATTCTAAGGGTGTAATTGAGGATGTTCTTGCAAGTTAATGATTTGGTCTTTCCTGCTGATTTTTATGTGCTTGATATAGATAATGGTGATCAAACCACTCCTATTTTGCTAGGAAGATCATTCTTAAAAACATCCCAGACTAAGATAGATGTTTATAGTGGCACACTCACCATGAAATTCGATGGTAAAATTGTTAAGTTTAATATTTATGATGCCATGAAATATCCTACTAATGATAATCCTGTTCATTCTGTTGATGTGATTGGTTTTTTAGTACAGGAAGTCTTTGAACTTGATGGAAATGATGGATTGGAAATTTCCATTAGTAAGCATCCTGAGAAAGATGTTAGCCTTGAGTCCTAATTTACAGGAAACTATTGCAGCATTGAATGATTCTCCGGAGTTACAACAGTCAGGTAACATTCCTTATGTTACGTTACCAATTTCTAATGGGAGACCTTTACCCCCTGTTTTGTAGGCCCCTATTCTAGATTTGAACCCACCCATGATGGATAAAAGGGGAGAACACGGGAAGTTGCAAC